GGAAACTGGTGTGTGCTACCTTGCTGACTTATATTTTCCTTTCTTTTACAATACTGTCTTATGCTCTTTCTCGTATCATAAGAGGGCTCCTCTTCCAGGAAGGCTCCTTGCCCTCTGGGACTCAGCCTGACACCACAGCCTTCTTTTATGACCAGGACCCACCCCCATGTGCATGCTCCTTGCTCATTTAATTAATATTTTGTGGCCGCTCATAGCCAGCTTGGCAACCGGCCTAGCTTTCCTACCATCAGAGTAACTGGTTTTTATTGTTTGTATTAGCATTGTTGTGGGCCATAGAAGTCTTAGTTCCTGATCCCTGAGGTCCCAGGGATTCCCATCTCTGCAGAGAGAGGACTCCGGGTTTGAGGGCAGAGGAGAGGACAAAGTTTGTTCCTCCCCTGCCCCCAGCACGGCTGGCCTTGCCCCCAGCACGCTATCCACACTGTACCACAGGCTGTGTGTGCCAGCCAGGAGAGGGACAGCCTGGCAAGCTGACACCAGTGTCAGGACTCATGGGACCTGCTGGCTTCCACGGCTGCCTGAGGACAGGAATCCTCCTCTCAGGTGAGGTCCCTGCTTCTGCAGACAGACTTCGTTGGGTGGTTGGGTGGCTGGAATGTGTGTGTGTGTGTGTGTGTTAATCTGTGTGTGTGTGTGTAAAAGAGACACACAGAAAGAAATAGAGGCAAGGCAGAAATAAAGCAGACACCAAGGACATTAACAAAAAGAGACAAAAATGAAAAAGATTAGAAGGCCAGAGAGAAATACCTTTCTCTTGATAAGGGAGAGAGATAAGGAAAGATAGAGAGGGAGGAGAAAGGATGGGACAGAGGGAGAAGGGGAAGGAAAGAGTAGACAGGGAATGATGGTGAAGGAAGTGAGGACAGAGAAGGGAGGGTAAAGGGGAAGAGAGAGTCGACCAGGTGGAAACCAGGGAGAGACTGAGATAGATGAGAGAGGGAGGGAGACAGCAGAGGGCAAAGAGACATCAAGAAAACTGAAGAAAAACAGAGAAGAAAAGAGAAAAGGAGAGAGAGAGGGGGGGAGGGGAAACTCTGATAAAGCTAGATGAATCGGGGAGGGACAGGCAGGAATGTCTCAGTCCCTAGTGGTCCACACATCATTATGGGATGGA